GGATACCTTACTAAGATCTAGAGGGAACCAGACCTCTGGGCCCGTGCGGGGGACATCATGGTCGGGCTATAAATGTTGATCTTTGAAGGAAGGAAATCTTGAGAGGGCGAAACCATTTTGTCTGGAGAGGAAGGAAGCAGGCGTTAAACCGTTTGCGTCATGATGGGGGAGCCCTTGAGAGGACAATACCATTAGCTGGTGGGAGGTGGAAATTTTTGTGGCGGATACCACTATGCCAGGGTATCTCCCTGGCATTGCTCTTGGGAGGTGGAGATCCTTTGTGAGTGGTGGTAGTGGGTTCCAAGAGGGAGCTGTACCATTGGATGATTAGGGGACATCTCATTAGGCCGGACGAGGGGGAGGAAGAAGTCTTTGAATGGATAATACCATTAGTTCTTGTTGGGAGGAGGACCAGAGAGAATGAAAGAGTGATACTGTTGGACCTCGTGTGGGAGAGATCACTGAACTCTTTGGAAGGTACCTTGACTTGGTACCCTGACCACTTGACTTTTTTTGGCAAGGGGACTCTGAGGGGATAAAGAGTGATAGAATTGCACCATGAGTGGCCCCTTGTTGAGGGAGTTCCTCTTTGTGTATGACCATTGGACTGATTGTGTGGAGAGACTCTGAGAAGGGAAAGTGCCACATTATTGGACCCTGAATGAAGGAAACCCTTAGTAGGACCCTGTAGGTGGAGGGAGGAACTCATAGTTGTTGTTGTTATGTGCCGTCGAGTCAAACCCGACTCATAGCGACCCCTCCTTGGGTTTCCGAGGCAGTATCACTATGGAAGTAGGATTGCCCAACCTTCCTTCCGAGGAGTGGCTGGTGGGTTTGAACCGCCAGCCTTCTGGTTAGCAGGCAAGTGTCTTAGCCACTATGCTGCCAGAGCTCCTGGAACTCATAGTAAGGAAGGGTAATTCCATTGGTCCTTGAATGAGGTAAAACAGTTGTCCTGGTGTGAGGGACTCTAAGGGTAGAAGGTTGAGACCATTGGGCTGTGAATGGAGAAGATGATTATAACCTGTGCATGGGGATTCTAAGTGGGCAAGAGTAATCTAGCTGGCCCACCTAAGGCCTTGTAGAAGAAAGACCCTGTAGGGAGTATTCCATCCCACTGGATCATGACTGGGGAGATCTTGAGGGGTATAGGGGACCTTTGAGTGGGGAAGGTTGATCCTATTGGGTCATGAGTGAGGGAAAACCATTGGACTCAATTGGGTAGGGATTCTAAGGTGCAGAGAGTATTCCAATTGGACCAAAACTAGGGGAGACAGATCTCTGGGCCCTGGAGAGCACAGGGGTAGGAATGATTCTCTAGAAGCCAAGCTCTCTGACCTTGAGCCAACCACCAGGATTGCTGGTGCTATGAGAGGGAGATGAAGGTCCTGGTGGGGTAAGGGAAGAACTGACCTCAGAGACCTACAGGACTGGTAGGGAGAGATCTGCTGTTTTGAGTAGCCTGTGCTTCATTTTCCTTTCATTCTTGGAGGAGGCCTGGACATGTTTTGTGATGATTGGGTTGAGGGAAGGGCAGCTCCCTGACTCAGTGAAAGTTGAGCAGAAATACCAGGCCATCTTCCTTTGGGAAAGAGAGAGGAAGGTAAGCCTCTGCCCCCACTCTTGGGACCTTCAGGTCTTGTCAAGAGGACACACTAACACTAACTCCTGACAGCAAGGACAGAAAGAACAGTGTTTATTGTGTGGAGGTAGGCCAAGAAGAGGAAGACAAATTGTATCCTATGGGCATGGAGAGCCACAGAATGCACACAAACAAGAGCCTGTCTGGTTCATCCTGGAATATTAGAAAGCACCCTGTGATGTCCTGAGTACAGAATGAATTGGAGGGGAAGTGATGTAGGTGGCAGGAAGATGGAGGAGTGAATCTGGCTGGGGTTATAAATGGAGTTGGAGAAGGTGGGACAAGGGCTGAGGGACTGGGAGCTCCTTTAGGATGCAGTGTGCACAGGTCTTAAGGAATGACTAGAAAGACTCATGGAGGGTGGCAGGATCTGTGGGACTCAGGGGCTTAGTTTCCTATGGTAGAGGGAGGGGGCATATGCCTGACCCAAGTCTTTTCCCTTCCCTGCTTCTCCCAAAGGCCCAGCTCCTGGAACTCCGGACAAACAACTATCAGCTTTCAGATGAGCTACGCAAGAATGGTGTTGGTGAGCCAAGAGGGTCTCATTGATGAGGATAGCTTTGGGGGGATAGGGGCTAAGCTTTTTTTCCTCAGAGGCCTCACAGGAGGACCTTTCAGCTCCTTGCCACCTACTAAGTCTGGTACTTCCTGCTTTCCCCATGCCAGAGCTCACCAGTCTTCGACAGAAGGTCACTTACCTGGATAAAGAGTTTGCTAAAGCTCAGAAGGTACCTCCCTCCACCTTACCCACATCATTTCCTCTACACATCTGACATATTTATCTCTGCATTGAGCACCAGCAGTGAACCAGGCCTGTTGCTACATGCTGTTTTCATGCAGTCATTTTATAAATTCTCATGGAAATCTCTTTAATTTGCTAATTTTACCTAAACCTGCTTAATTTATTAATTTTGATTTACTCTTAATTCATTCCTAATTTAGTCATTCTCATTTACCAACTTATAGTTAAATAGTCAAATCTATTAGTAAATCTTCCTTCACTCTGCCCCCATCTTCCACTAATCTCCCACCCCTATCCTGGTTCTGTTGGTAAAAATGAGGCTTAAACCTACCTCTCAGATCCTCTAATGATGAATATAACCTATCGTGGCACTTCAAGACATTCAAGGCCCTCCTTTGTCTCCTTTCTTCATTGCTCTCTCCATGCATGCATGATACATATACTATATGTTCAATTAATATTTGTTGAATGGAAGAATAAAGAATACAGAAAATCTCACAACTAGGAAGGCTGGGTTTCTCTTTGGGAAGGTGACTGATTCCTCAGGTCTAGTAATGTTCTTGGCTGGACAGCAGGGGAGCAGCTGTTTCCAGGTTACATGGGGAATCCACATAGATGTGTTTGGACATATGTAGCAATGAAGCCACCATTTCTGAGCCCAGATATCCAACCCATAAAGGATTAAACACTAAACCCTATGAAGAGCCTCAAGAGCTTAGAGGAAAGGGTGATTTCTGTGTGCTGGGGCACCAAGGCAGATTCCCCTTATTTATTCATTCATATACACATTCATTTATCCTATCATTCCTGTCAGCTCCAAATCATCACACAAGTTCTGTAATTGAAAACTCTCCCCTCCCCCAACTGCTATCATCATTTTTCCCCCTTAAGACTTGTCACAGTCATCTCTACACCCTAGTGAGAGAGTTCATCTCTCTTCCTACCTTCTCCCCTTTAGGCACTGAGCAAGAGCAAGAAAGCTCAGGTAAGAATACCCATGATGGGTGAATGTGTCTGGGAAACTGTGTCTTAATGGGGATATTTCTGTATGCTGGGATCTCCTTGTGCTGGACTTTCTTTTCTCTGTGTATGTGCTTCCATCTGCGACTGTCTGTCTCACTATCTCACTGCCCTTATCTCTAATTACTATTACCATCACACTCCCACTATCTTTCATTCTGTGCCTATCTCTCTGTCTCTTTCCTTTTCCCTTTCTCTCTGAATCTCTGTCTTCCTGTTCCCCTCTCTCTGACTCTTGTTTATCTTCCCAACCCTTTCTTTGTATCTCCCCATCCCCATTCCTATCTCTGTCATCATTTCTCTTTTCTTTTTCTTTCTATCTTTCTCCCTCCTTGTTTCTCTCTCCCCCATTCTTCTATCTCTTCCTGACTCTTATTTATTTCCCTGACCCCTCTTTCTCTATTCTGTTCTCTCCCTGTTGGTCTCTCTTTGTTCCTATCTCTCTTTCTGCCTTTTCTTTTTCTCCCCCATCCTTTTCCCCTTCCCTATCTATCCTCCTTTCCCTATGTCTCTGTACCTGCTCCATGTCCCATCTATAGCCCTATCTCCTCTCCATCATCTCATCTCTGCCTCCAGCTCTTTTCCCCTGCTCATCTTTCTTCCCTTTCCTCTCTGTCTCTCTCTTCCTCCCCATCTCTTATCTTTATTTCCTCCTTCCCTTTTCTCCCTGCACTCTATAATGTTCTCCTTCCTCCTTGACTTTCCTTTTATCCCTTTCTGTGTCTCTCTCTTTTCCCGTATCTCCTCATTCCTGCTTCCCATTCTCTGTACCCTTTGTTCAACCCCTGCTTCATGACTCTTGTTTTCTGTCACTGTGTCTTTGCTCTACCATACTTTCTACCCCTGTTGGAGACCTGGCTTATGTCTGCCACTACAGGAAGTCGAGGGGCTGCTGAGTGAAAATGAGATGCTGCAGGCAAAGCTGCACAGCCAGGAGGAGGACTTCCGTTTGCAGAACAGCACGCTTATGGCCGAGTTCAGCAAGGTGCTGGTGCCGGGATAGCCAAGGGGTAGAGGCCACCTGGGCAGAAACCAGAGGGTAGCAGAAGGGTTGAATAGGGGCTGGTCCTGGAGCACTGTCCGTGGTGCTGAAACTCTTCATGGCTTGCTGCTAGGGGACAGCAATTTGGCAGATGGGGCCACTCACTGTGCTGGGATTAGAAAGCTGCAAGCTATGAGTTCAGCTGGTTCCTGGTCAAGCCACTCCTTTTCTTTATGCTTCAAGTCACCTTTTGTATGATTTGGGGCTGATGCTATGGAATCCTCAGAGGAGTTTTAGGTAAAGTTCTTGCACTTAATGGAGGATAGAGAGAGATTCTCTTCTCTTCTTTCCCTTCATCTGACATGATCCTGGGATTTTACTTTTTTCATATGATTCATTCTGGATCAGATAATTCTATTGACTTAGTGATTTTAGTGTCCAGGCAGTTCTAAACCTCCTGGGAAATTGGAGACTTTTTTTGTTCCATTATCTATAGCTTCTGTATTCATTATTAATCATTAATCTAAGGTTTTAGTGTGTTTTAAGGAAAAAAATCCTATGGCAACAAAAATGATATTTTCAAGGCTCCACCTGAGTATATAGTATATAAGATCTTTAAAAAAAAAAAAAATGAAAAAAAAGTAAACAGGTACAGTACCAGAAAAGCAGCTTAACAAGTAGTAGTTTAGAGTGAGGACTCTGGAGTCAGAAGGCCTAGATTAAAATCTTGGTTATACCTTTTATTAACTGTAACCTGAGCAAGTCACTTTACCTACCTGTTTCTTGGTTTCCAAACATTTAAAATGGAAATGGTAATAACAGTATCTGTCTCACAAGGCTTTTGTGAGGATTAAATTGTTAATGTATTTAAACCATTTAGAGCAGAACCTTGTACAAAGTGTCAGCTACTAATACCATTTTATTAATTTATTTTCCCTCTAAAATATTTCTTCACTTTTAGAAAGCTTTATATTCATCCTGTGGCCCTGCCATGCCTTAGCCCTTACCACCTTCCACCTACTCTATTTTTACAGCTCTTCCCTGGTCTTCTCACCTCTAGCTTTCTCTACCAGTCTGCATCTACAGAGGTTATTCAGACCTACAAGTCTCACCACATCACTCCTTTATTTATTTATTTATTTTGAAAATCTTTCTTGTGATTTGGGTGAAAATTAACAGAGCTTATTTATTTTCTGTACAGCAGTTCATACACATTTTGTTTCATGACAGTGACTACAATCCCCACAATGTAACAGCTCTCTTCCTACTTCTTCCCTGAAGTTATCTCTTCCCTGTGTCTTTCTGACCCTGAACTATCTCCCTGTGCAAATACTGTCCTTCTGATCTCCCATGTTTGATTGTTCTAAGGAGTGTATCTACCTGGCATAAATGTTCACCTTATATGCCTGTTTGTTGTTTGCCTGGAACCCACGGGAGTGAGTTCAATTCCAGGCCTGAAGGGTCACTAGGTGCCATAGTCTCGGGGGTTTCACCAGTCTCTATCAGACCAGTAAGATTGGTCTTTTATATGATTTTGAGTTTTTTTCTCCCTCTCTATCCAGGATCTCCTTTCTGAGTGGTTGACAACCATATCACTCCTTTAAATAATACCTTCCTGTTTAGTTTTCTGTCCTCTACAGTTTAGAGCTTCTGGTGCTCACATCACAGCTGACCTCACCACTTCACTACTCATTGCCTCTAGCCTCAATGACATCATAGTTCTTACAAGATGGGGCAGGGACAGGTATTCCTCCATAAATCTAGATCATGTTTCCTGACACCTATCCTATGATAGGAGTCCCTGGGTGGTTCAAATGGTTAATGTGCTCAGCTGCTAACCAAAGGGTTGGTGGTTCAAGCTTACCAAGAGGCACCTCAGAAGAAAGGCCTGGCAATCTTTCCAAAACATCAGCCATTGAAAACCCTAAGTAGCACTGTTCTACTTTGACATACATGGAGTTACCATGAGTCAGAATCAATTTGACAGTAAGTGGTTAGGTATCCAATGCTAGGCACTGAGCCAGGTATAGAGACCTCCATCATATTTTCCCTTCCAGGAACTGGAAGTACTAATTGAGAGGTTCAAGTCCTGTCCTACCATTTACTTGCCAAGACATTTCAGCTCAGTTATTCCTTCTATAAATATGTAGTAAGCACCTACTATGTTCTAGAAATGCAGTTGTGAATAGCACAGAGTAGTTCCCAATATCAGATAGCTTGCATTCTGGGCATGGGATGGGGAGAAAGATGATAACATAATAAAAATAATAATAGTAGTGATAAACCAAAAACCAAACCCACTGTTACTGAGTCAATTCCAACTCATAATGATAGCTGGCATTTATGTAGCATTTACTATGTGTCAAGTCTTATTTGAAGTACTTTACATTATTAACTTAACTTCACTCTGTAAGATAGATATTAGTATCACTGGTTGACAGATGAGTGGGCATTGTTGATTCAGTGGTAGAATTCTTGCCTTCCATGCAGGAGACCTGGGTTCCATTCCCAGCCAATGCACCTCATGCACAGCCACCACCTGTCTGTTAGTGAAGGCTTGCATGTTGCTATAATGGCAGATAGGTTTCAGCATAGCTTTAAGACCAACTAGGAAGAAAGGCCTGGCAATCTGCTTCTGATAATCGGCCAGTGAAAACCCTGTGGAGCACAATAGTTCAATTTGAAACCAATCATGGCGAAGGCACAGGACTAGGCAATGTTTTGTTCCATTGTGCATGGGATTGCCATGAGTCAGGGAATGACTTGATGGCACCTAATAGCTTTTAACAGATGATGAAAACTGAGAGATTAACTGATTTATCTCAAACTCAACTGCCATCAAGTTGGATCTGACTCATAGTGACCCCTCCTTGGGTGGTATTTCTACGGAATTGCCCAATCTTCCTTTTGCAGAGTGGCTGGTGGGTTTGAGCCACCAGCCTTCTGGTTAGCAGTCAAATGCCTTAGGCACTAGCCACCGGAGCTCCCAGCTAGTAAATAGCGGAGTAAAAATTCACATCCAAGCAGCCTGGTTTCAGAAGTTGTGCTTATACCCCTTTGTTACAAATAAAATTTAATTGTGATAAGCACTAGTTAAGAAAGAAATGAATAGAGCACTGTGATATAGAGTACTATGGTATCTGTGTTGGAGGTTGTTACCTTAAAGGTGACATTTGAGCAGAGACCTGAAGTCTGCAAAGAAGTTAATCATGTGAAAAGCTGCAAGAAAGGAATAGTATTCTAGGTAGAAAAGTATCCCAGGCAATAAACCAAAAATTCTCCATGGGTCTCAGTATTCTTTTCTGAAAATGGAGACAAGGGATCTTCTCTTCAGGACTGCTGTGAGAACTGTAAATTAATCAGGAGTCCAACAGGGCCTGTTTTAGATATATTTGCATTTTACACCTCCCCAAGGCCAAACACTGGCACTGGGGCACTTGTCAGCAGTACTGGCCCTAGAAATGACCTGAGAGCTGTCTCTTGTACCTGGACTGAGAGGGAGCCATCCCTGGACCTAGAATCCAGGTCATAGGCGCCTCTACAGAAGAGGGCTAGTGGTTGGCCTATTCGTGGTGCATATTGTTCAGGGAACTTTCAGAGCAGCCTGAGGTCTTGGATTGCATCTTTCAAATTTGGAGTGTGTAAGGGGAAAGTTGTTCTCAGTATCCTCCTTTTTTTGATTCTGCCACTTACCAGATGTGTAAATTTAAAGTTGCTTAACATCTCTGTGCCTCGATGTTCTTGTCTGTAAAAGGAAGATAACGAGAGCACCTACCTACCAGGGTTGTTACAGGAATTAAATGTGCCAAGTGCTATGTCTGTTTCAGAATATTGTTATGATTCCCTGCTGCTTCCCTCTTTCCCTCCTCAGCTCTGCAGCCAGATGGAACAGCTTGAGTGGGAGAACCAGCAACTGAAGGATGGAGCTGCCAGGGAAGGGGCTGCCCAAGCTGGCAGCCTTGTGGATGGGGAGCTGCTGAGACTGCAAGCAGAGAACACAGCCTTGCAGAAGAATGTGGCAGGTGCATAGAGGCCCTACTGGTGATGTATGGACTTCAGGGCTTAAATAGAGCAAGGAAGGTATCCTCCCCTCCAGGAGAAGGGGATGGGCTTCAGATTCAGGATTGACCCTGCCATGAACCGGTGTATGACTTTGGACAAGCCATTTCACCTCTCTGGTCCAAACTGTCCTCATCTAAAAAGTACATGTAGTGATAGCTACCATCTGGCAGTAGCAGAGATAAGGGATGGTGTCATACTGCATTTAGAAATTCTACACCTAGAAAATGTTAAGAGATTGTCAGATAGAACATTGAAAAGGACATATTTGCTAAGTGGAGAAAATGAATGAAGGAGCATTGGGAAGAAGGGTCCAGAATGAAAGCTAAAAGAAAGCTTGATAAAGTGTAGGAGGGTTCTGGTGTGTGGACTTTTGGAGAGCAGCTGGGGCTTGTGGGGTAGTGGGTGGTGGTTTGGTGATCAGGAGGGAGACTTTTTGGAATGTGAGTGGGGAATAGAAGATTATAGGAGGAATTCTGAAAGGTCACAGTACTGAAAACCCTATGGAGTAGTTCTACTCTGTACTCATGGGGTCCTCATGAGTTGGAAATGACTCTACACAACTAAAAACAACAGAGGAGGGATTCAGTTTTAAGTAGGGGGTGTAGCATAGTGGGCATGACTTGGGAACACTGTGAGTAGGGCTTAGAGGAATGAAGATAGGGCTTGGGAAACCACCTTGGGTTTGCAGGATCTTAGTGACTAGTGTGGCTTAAGAGATTTTTGAAAGGCGTAAGTGGGGCAGAACCTTTGGCTTGTAGCTGAACATGGCTTATGATCATTTAGGATAGGGTCTCTGTTACCTGAGGGGCAAAGGCCATTTCTTCCTCTATTTGAAGTATGGCAAGGATCTTTGGAAACTAACGCATCCATTGTATATCACTGTCCTACCCACCAGCCCTGCAGGAACGCTATGGGAAAGGGACCGAAAAGTCTCCAGCTGTCAGTGAGGGCCAAGGTGACCCTCTAGGGGGCCCAGCCCATACTGTTCCAGCTCCCATCCCATTGGCAGAGGTGGAGCTGAAATGGGAGATGGAAAAAGAGGAGAAGAGATTGCTCTGGGAGCAGCTACAAGGCTTGGAGGTGAATCTGGTTTTGTTGGGGCTGGGATGCCAGGAGGCAAGCAGATGCCCTAGCTCTATTTATGGTCCCACATTAATGTCTCTGATATCACTGTCTTGTGGGCTAACTGGGATCAGAGAGGCAAGAGGGTAGGGGAAGTCAAAGACCTTGCTCCCTCTTTGCTGACAACAGCCTCATCCTCCCCTGCAGAGCTTGAAGCAAGCTGAAACATCCAAGCTGCAGGAGGAACTTGCTAAGGTAGGGCTGCCAACTTTTTCCCTGAGCTTTGCCTTCCCCTGCTTTCCACTTGCCAAGCTTCCCCTGGCAGGGCAGAAAAGGCATAGTACCCCCTCAAAGCCTCAATTTCATCATGTGAAATAGAAAGACTCACAGTTATATCTGAGTTGCTTTCAATGTGGAATGGGTCCCACTATGTCTTATGCATGGCAGGCCCCATCCCTTTCTTCTGTTTCCTCCCAGCTCTGCTTGTTCATTTGTTCATTTATTCATTCCACTCATATAAGCATTTATAGAATACTGGCTCTTGTCTTAAGAACTAGAGACCCACTGGTGATACAGCCAGTCATGGCTCTACTTCTGAGGCCTCCCAGCCTAGCCATTATAGTAGCATGGCCATTGGTTGATATTCTGAGGGGCATGCTTGCTGGGCTTTGGAGCTGGAGATCATGTTGCTGCTGACCAGCTGGGCACCACTCCTATAACACACATGAACTGGGCAGTGAGCTCTTGATGGGAAGATCTGAACAGTAAAATATGGAGAGAGTGGTGGTGGTAGTTGTGATGAGGCTTCAGGTCAGAGTTGGGACAAGGGGTAAAGGTTCCTAATGTAGACTTTGGAAAACTGAGGACTAGGTGCCAGGTCTATGCTGAGGTAGGAAAACTGAGTCTGTTGTAGTAGACCAGGAACCACATTATGTAAAGCTTCTGAAATTCAGTTTCCCCATTTGTAAACCAGTAGTACTCACTTCTTAGGGCTTTTTTGAAGATTCAAGGAGATAGTCATTTCTAGTTTCCAGAAAAATCTTAGTAAGAAGTATCTGTAATTATTGTGTTTTTTTTTTTTTTCGTTATTAATATTAATGTTATCACTTGTTTTTCTCCCCTCCAGCTTTCTGAGAAACTTAAAAAGAAACAAGAAAGGTAATTTCTTTTTTCCAGAGGTGGGAAAAGTGGTTTTGGAGGATTAGGAACTAGGGAACTTGGGGAACTGACCCATCTATGTCTCTTTTTCTGTGCTCAGTCTTTGCCGTCTGCAGACAGAGAAGGAGACACTATTCAATGACAGCAGGTAACTGCCAGAAGTCTTGGTGGGCAATGGGGACAGTGCCCAGCAGAATTAACTAAAGGCCACTGAGGCAGAACTGGGAGACTGGACCTGAAACTATGCTCACTGTGTCTAGTTGTCACCCTCCTGCTATCATCTCCAGGAACAAGATTGAGGAGTTACAGCAGCGGAAGGAAGCTGATCTCAAAGCCCAGTTGGCTCGAACCCAGAACCTGCAACAGGAACTTGAGGCTGCCAATCAGGTGGAGGGGGGCATTGTGCTCTGAGATCCCTAGGATGAGCACTACATCTAGGAGTCCAGGGAGATTTGAAGTCCACAGAAGCTGGCTGGGGAGTCTGAGATTTCCTGTGTTAGAAATATTAGGGACTGGATGGGTCCTAGGCCCCCAAGAGCTGGGAAAATAAGCTGGGTAGCCCTAAGACCCCTGGGAGTTGGGATAAGAGTCTGTATGAATATAAGATCTCTGAGATCTAACAAGTTGGGGGCTGTGTTTCAGGAGTCTAGATAAATCTGTGGTCCTATAGATTGGTGTAGGATTTGAGGTGAATTCTAATTCCCTGGAGGCTGGGTAACTTTAAGACCTTTTGGGACTGGGATGTCAGTAAGTTTGAGACTCCTAGGGGCTGAGGACATGAGGGCTGGTAGTTATAAGACTCCCAAGGATGGGACAGTTGGGGCTGGAGGCTGGGTACATTTGAGACCCTCAGGGTCTGGGGTGATTAGGTCTGAGACACCTAGGAACTGGGATCACATGGGCTGGGTGATCCTGAGACCCCAGGGGATGGGAACAAAAAACTGGTGAATCTGAGACCTCCAGGGGCTAGAGCAAAAGTCTAGGTATGTCTGAAGCTCCTGAAGGTTAGGGGTTGGATGACTTTAAAACCTCTAGGTTTCTCCCTAGAGGGGGTAAGTCTTAGGTCCCTTGGGATGGAGGATATGGTGACTTGTGAGTCTAAAATGCTTAGGAGCTAGAAACATGGGGGATGGGTGAACCTAAAGCCCCTGGGGACTGGGAACAGAAGTCTGGGTAAAGCTGAGATCCAAAGGATCTGTGTTGTTGATATGTGCCGTTGAGTCAGACCTGACTCATAGCGACCCCTCCTTGGGTTTCCAAGGCAGTATCACTACAGAAGTAGATTGCCCAACCTTCCTTCTGAGGAGTGGCTAGTGGGTTTGAACCGCCAGCCTTCTGGTTAACAGTCAAATACCTTAGGCCCTATGCTATCAGAGCTCCTAAAGGAGCTGAGGGGTAGCTAAAGATCTCCAGAGACTGGAGGGACAGGAATGGTGGGGGTGGGGACAATCTGAGACCTCAACTGGAGCTGAAAACTAGGAGATTGTGTGAGTTTGAGACCTCTAGGGTTTGAGAGGGAGCTTTGGTAGCGTAGTGCTTAAGGCACTTGCCTGCTAACCAGAAGGCTGGCAGTTCAAACCCACCAGCCACTCCTCGGAAGGAGGGTTGGGCAATCTACTTCTGTAGTGATACTGCCTCAGAAACCCAAGGAGGGGTCTCTATGAGTCGGGTCCAACTTGACGGCACATAACAACCACAACAGGGTTTGAGACTGTGACTTTGGATGAGTCTGAGGCTGTTGGAGGCTAGGGACATGGAAGGTGAGTGTGTCTGAGACCCTTAGGGGTCAGGAGTCTAGGTGAATCTAGGGTCCTGAGAGCTAATTGAATCTGAGATCTATGGGGCCTGAGTGTGTCTGAGAATCCTAAGGGCTATGATCTGGAATCTGGGTGAGTCTGAAACCTCTTATGAATGGAGGTTGGGTGAGTTTTAGTCTTCAGGGGCCAAGGCTGGGAGGTTACATATGTCTGAGATGCTTAGATGCCAGGACATAGGGGTTGAAAGTTTCTGAGGCCTGGAATCTGGGTGAGCCTGAGATTTCTGATGGCTGAGTAATCTGAGTACCTCAGGTGTTAGGGACATGCTGTTGGGTGGTCAAAGAGGAAATCTGTATGGGTCTGTGTACCCAGGAGAGGCTGGGTGGGTTCCTTTGACCTTCTGTTCCCCACAGAGCTTGGCAGAATTGAGAGATCAGCGGCAGGGGGAGCGCCTGGAGCATGCAGCAGCTCTCCGGGCCCTACAAGATCAGGTATGTTATAGGAAGTGGGCCCAGGGAAGTGGGGGTGCTGGTGGAGGAAGCCTGAGTGGATGGTATATAAACAGGCAAGGCCCCAGGGATACTGCTACCCCCAGTCCTGGTTCTTGTGTATGTGTGTCTCTCTCCTTATTTTCTTGGCTATGGGTAGGTCCTGTCCCTCTCTTCTGAGCCCACTCTCATATGTTATGGGGGTGGGGCCAGGTGTCCATCCAGAGTGCAGATGCGCAGGAACAAGTGGAAGGGCTTTTGGCTGAAAACAATGCCTTGAGGACTAGCCTGGCTGCCCTTGAGCAGGTACAGGACACCTGGGATCCCTCACCAATCCCTCCACTGTCCCACTACCTCCCTCTACTTCTGGTCACATTGGGGCAGGGTGGTTTGGATCTCATGCTGTTCTCCTACCTTTGTTTCTGTTTCATTTTCATTTTGTATCTGGCCATCCAGCTCTGCTTCTCTTGCATTCTAGTTTCTTCCTCTCAAGTGAAGTGTGTGAAGTATACTAATCTAAAGTGTACAGCTCAATGAATCATATGTTGTATATATATGTGTGTGTGTATCTATGTATGTTCCCATATAATCACCACCTAGATCAAGATACAGAGCACTTTCAATACCCCAGAAGGTTCCAATGTACCCTTTCCCAGTCAATATTCCCGCAGAAGTAACCATTATTCTGATCTCTATTGCCATAGATTAATTTTGCTTATTCTTTAACATCATATTTAGCACCCTTTTTTTGTCTGGCTTCTTTCCCGCAGTATTTTATCTGTGAGGTTTATCCATATCTGTTCTTTTATTGCTGTATAGTTTTTCCATTGTATTGATATGCTAGGATTTATTTATCCATTCCCTGATTTCTTTCTCTCACTGTTAATTTCTCTGAAATTCTGTCTCCTCCTGGCTTTTTTTCTACCTCTCTTCCTGGAACTGGGAGGTACGACCTGGTTTCTGGGGCCCCTTTCACTCTACTTCTCATCAACACCACTTTCTCTAGATCCAAACAGCAAAGACCCAAGAACTAAATATGCTCCGGGAGCAGACTGCTGGGTTGACAGCTGAGTTGCAGCAGCGGCAGGCTGAGTATGAGGACCTCATGGGACAGAAAGATGACCTCAACTCCCAGCTCCAGGTGACACCTGTGAACATTGTCTGTCTTCTCATTGTTCCCTAGTGCTGGCTCAGTGGAGTCCCCCATGAAGTGCAACGGGAAGATTGTGGAATCAGGAGGGCCTAGGCTTCAATCTAGTTCCCTAACTTAGTAGCACCTGTGTGTCTTAGGACATGTCATTTCTCTTCTGTGAGACTGAGCCTCTTCACCTTCAATTAGTGAGGACATTCATTTTGATTCCATAATAGAAACAAAAATAACAGTGGCTCAAATAAGATAGAAATTTAGTAACCTTCCATGTAAAAGTCCAGTTAGGTTGTCCAGGGATAGAATGATGGCTTCATAATCACCCAGATTCCTTCTACATTTGCCATTCTGCCACCTTCAACATGAGACTTCTATCATGTCATCCAAGGTGATTGCTCAAGCTCCCCCCGCCCCTCACCTTGATGTTTGCATTCCAGCTGGAAGGAAGGAGGAAGGGGGAAGGGAACAGCATGCCTCTTTCCTTTAAGAGCATAATCTAAGTTACACTCACCACATCTGCACACAGAAATTAATCACATGGCCACACCTAACTGCAAGGTTGGAAGAGAAATGTCAGATAGATAGCTGCATGCCCAACTAAAATTCCTATTGCTAGAGAGGTAGGGGAAAATGACTACTGGGGAATAACTAGCAGTCTCTGTCATACTTATCCATAAAATGAGAAAACCATCAGCAGCCTAAAACAGGTCAGTGGTCTCACCACAGTCCCCAGACACAGCACTGGGCCTCAGCATGCCATAAGGAGACAGGGTTAATGCAGATGGTGTACCAGAAGTGTCCTAGGTAAGTCAGCACCCATTGGAGGCTCTTTATCAAACTCACCCCTTCATTCCTGTATTAGGAATCATTACGGGCCAATAGTCGGCTGCTAGAACAACTTCAAGAGCTAGGGCAGGAGAAAGAGCAGTTGATCCAGGACCTTCAGGAGGCTCGAAAGGTAGGGCACATGAGGAGTGGAGGTGGGGAGGATGGGGATTGACCTAGTCTATGGGGACAGGGGACATTATATGGCCAAATCCATGGAGATAGGAAGAGAATAAAAGTTGGCCACTTCCATAATTGACCAATTCTTTGGCCAAATCCATAGGAATGTGAGAGTAAAGAAAGTGACCAAGTTCATAAGGATAGATGACTGCCTTAGCCAGTTATATGGGGTAGGGGAGGGGATGGAGTCTGGTGAATTCCTTGGGCATGGGGAGAAGGGAGGGTCTTTTCTGGTATTTTGGCAGGAGGTTGACTGCCATCCTCCTGCCCCAAACTCCTGGTCTCCAGAGTGCTGAGAAGCGGAAGGCCATGCTGGATGAGCTTGCAATGGAGACACTGCAGGAGAAGTCACAGCACAAAGAGGAGCTAGGAGCAGTCCTATTACGGCATGAGAAGGAGGTGCTGGGGGTACGTGCCCGCTATGAGCGTGAACTCCGAGAACTGCATGAAGACAAAAAGCGTCAGGAGGAGGAGCTCCGTGGACAGATCCGTGAGGAGAAGGTGGGTGGGTAGATAGATGATAATGACCTTGCTCCTCTAAAACTTGGGGACCACAGTTTAGCTGACGGGCCAGTGGTTGGCGTGAGTGAGGTGCCCACTCCTGTGCCTGCCTGGCCCATGACAATCTGGTCCCTCCCAGGCCCGAACACGGGAGCTGGAGAATCTACAGCAGACAGTGGAAGAGCTTCAAGCTCAGATACACTCCATGGATGGAGCTAAGGGTTGGTTTGAACGGCGCTTAAAGGAAGCTGAGGTGAGTTGGTGGCACCTGGTAAGGGGCAGAGACTGGTGAGGAGGGGTACCCATTCCAAGCTAGTGGAGCAAGAGTGGTCAGGCCCTGGAACTTTCTGAGAAGCCTTCTGCTGGGGATCAGGGAATGGCCAGTGGATAGGGCAGAACATCAGGTATGCAGGCAGCCCTGCCTTTGTGCCAATTCAAAAAGACACCCCTTCTTCCTGAAACTGCTTCCATCTGTCAGAAAATTATTGTTCTACTGTTTTGTTAGAACAAGGACCTTCACTTCCACTTTCTGGAAAATTCATAATAATACTTACTATGAAGCAGTGTCTTGTAGCAGTTAAAAGCACAGGCTCTGTTTGCTTAGTTATCAATCCTGGCTGGGGCACTTAGTAGCTCAATAACCTTGGACAAGTTACCTTATCTCTCTGTGGCTCTTTTTCATCATCCATAAAAAGTAGATGATAACAGTACTGCATAAAAGGGTGTGTGGGTGGCATCTGACCTCTTTTAACTTCACAAGGAGAGAAAATCAAGATGAACTTCAATAGCCCAAGGCTGATTCCTATGAAGCAGAGGTCAGACGTGCTACCACTCTCCAACCTTCTACCATTTCTGACACCACCTGCCCCTCGTGGTACTCTCTACTTCTCTGCTGGGTTTAAGAATTCATTGCAGTGGCCATACGGAACTCACAGACAGTACTCACAATCATGGGGTTTATTGGGGAAGCAACAGGTTACAGTTCAGGTTCAGGAATACTCAGGATACAATTCTTCAATCAGGACAGCCTCCCCTTGGCCATGCCTACGGTCATGCCTCTCTTTGACCCTTGGCCTCTTGGCCTGCCTTCTGCCCTGCTTGAGCAAGTGTTACAAAGCTCTTTAACTCTGCCAGTAGGTGCACCCCACTCCACCAGCAAGCCCCCTGTCTGAAGGCACTCACCTTTCTCACTCTCTGGGCCAGCAAGCCCACTGCCCTGTCTCATGGTGGTCTCTTGGTTCTGTTGATTCTGCTACCTGTACTGCTGCCATCTCTCTGCTGTCTTAGCACAAGGATCTCAGGATACATCCTACTCCCAGTTTTTCTCTCTTGTTTGGTGGCAGTGAGATCCCCCTCTCAACCTCTGGGATGGCTCATTTTAAGCCTAGTGAGATAGCAGAACTAACCAATCCCATGTTAGGGTTCCATGAACCTTATTTCCATAGTCTTATCCCCACAAAGGCCACAAGCACCTCACATTTGCATTGTCTCACCAGTCATCTGGCAGTAGTCACACTAGAAGAGCCACACTAAGTAATTTACTGCACTGCAGGCCACCCCCTGGCTCTTCTAGCCATTGGCCCTTTCATACTTGAAAGATTAACTTCCCCTTTGCAATTATTTCAAGTATAAGCATACCCATGAAAGTGTGTAAGCCAACTACTTCAGGCTTTATCTCCCCCCCTCCTTTTTAGATAGCCACTTTCTAATTTGCCCATCCCTATCAGACCAGTAAGTATAATAATACTTATTATTATAAGTATTATTATAAGTATAAGTAAGGAGCTCTGGTAGCATAGTGGCTAAGTCACTTGCCTGCTAACCAGATGGCTGGCGGTTCAAACCCACCAGCCACTCCTC